TAAATCTAAACAATATAGAAATCTTTTCATTTCTAAAATATAAGAATAGTTCAAAAATTGACAAAGAACGTATTTCTTGAATCCATGTTTTGACATCTGGAGTACTTTTAGGATGATTCACTTAGCTGATTCCAAGCTCAACAGTCCCAGAATTCTTCATAAAATATCGAATTCCATATTTTTGGAGTGTTAGCATCACATGTGTATCTTTAACAACTATGCTTTTTCCCAAAGTTGTGTTAACATTTATCATCATTTGAGATAAAAAAAAAGAGTAAAGTGTTATTGGATGCTTCCCTTGTATGACCTACACAGATCAAATCAGCAGATTGTCCAAATAGGAGAACACATCCTGGGATCTGAAGTGGGCTACAAGAGATGCCAAGCGGAAGACTTTGGCATCCTGGTATCTAAATCTTAGGAATCTCCTATTTGATAGACGGACTGAGATGTAAAGGTAGGCTACCAGAAGGTCCAATTAGGCCAGGGTGCCCTTTTGCTGAAACCATTCCATGATAAATACAGGTAGTCCCCAATTTAAGAACTAGTTCCATTCCCAAGGTCTGTCCTTAAGTCTAATTTGTATGTAAGCCGGAACAGTATTATTGCATAATACTGTATAAGTAATATTGTGTAATAAACTTGAACCATTGTGCACTTAACTCAAAACATTGTGTATTAAACTCGAATTTCGCTACAAGAGGCTCTGTTCTTAACTATGAGTTGTCCTTAAACCGGGCATTCTTAACCCAGGGACTATTTGTATCAGGCTCTCCGTTCTAAACTTGAGATGCTTGATTGACAGACTATCCAATTTAGATCCAGGATCATTATAGGATGTAAGAGTTGGCAGAGAAATTGGTGATCATCTAGTTCAACCTCCTGCCAAGTGCCAAGATCCATTATTACAGCATCTCTATCAGTCAAGGGATGAAGAATCCTTCAGGTAGTCTGTGGAATTCTGTGGTGTAATCATGAGAACTCATGCATCTGATTTTCTGTGGGTCCAAAAATGGGAAAATTTTGTAAATCTCTGACACATAAGGATGATACAGTAAATGGCATTGGCTTCCCCTTTTTGTGAATGAGGAAATGTATTGGAGCAGTTTGTTCTGATATCTTCCTCCACCACCCTGCCAGTGTGCTCTGTGTTCCTTGTGTTCTAAGGGATTCTCTCAGGTGTAGCAGTGACAAAAAGGAAGAGTAAAGTAGGTTGATTACCTGTTACCCTTCCCTTCAATTTTTGGGGTGAAAGGTAGAGCTTTTTTTTCCTCCATTATCTCAATTACTTAGGGCCTCTCCATCATCTAGAGTCTCTCCAATATTTTGTCTTTCCTGAATCAGCCTAATCTGAGTACTGATTTTCATTTAAGATCCATGTTCCGGAAGGGGTTTTAGCCATAGTTGCTTCCTAAGTGCCACGTTTGCTGCCATGTCTCTGGTTAGGAACTCAATGCTTTTTATATTAGCAATTCTCCATAAAAGCAATCAACTTGATTAGTTTGTTCATGACTTGTCTGAACTCCTACGTTCTGGAGGAATCAGCTAACAGAGTTATTTGTCTATCAGAATAGGTGCCCTAGGAAAAAAGGATGTTATAAATGAGGCAATTATAGCCAGGGAGATAGCCTCATGCTGCAGAATTTCCATTCACTTGTCTTCTGGTTCTTTTGCTTCTATTCAGTATGGCCCCTGAGACAGGTGTCGCCTCCAACAGGTGTTGAGGAGGTCTAGGATGTCCTATGAGATGGTACAGAGCTTGGTGGCTTAGCGGGGTACTCCCCTATCACCACTCCCAGGAACCCCACTCAGAGAACAGAGAACTGTCTCAGAGAACAGAAAGGATAAGATTCAGATGCTAGTCACTTGGAACACCCCTACTGCTAATGAATACAAGTGGTTTCACCATAGCAACCAGCTGCTTATGCAGTCTATATGCTTCAACAATTTCTTTTTTACCTTCTGGGAGATAAGGAAAGAAAGATGCTGTCTTCTAACATAAAAACTAAAGGTGGCAAGCTATTCAAATAGGCAGAGCTATGTAGATATAACTGCATGACCCCCACCCTCAGTTTTATGTCTTTTTTGTTTACTGGCACCAAATGTCCTTGAGTACAAGGTTTGCCCTGAGCTACCTCACAGTTAGACAATGGATTTGTAAAAGAAAATGGCATTCATTCTCTTATACATGTTTTTAACCAGGGGATGGGGGTTTTAACATGGAGTTGACTTTTATCATACATCCATGTTTATCTTAAGCAGTAGTAGCAAAGGCTGTAGCAAAGGCTGAAATATCACTGTTGTGTAGGTAACTACATGAATAACTTAAGTAATCTGTTGATTGCTGATGTTAGCATACTTCAAGGGCAAGAGCAGTCACCATCTGGAGTAACTGTTCTGTATATGGCCTGTTCTCCATAGATGGAACATATGATTGCCTGGGGATTGAGAAAGATAAGAAGATATATCCAAAGATGTAGTGCTGGACTCATAGCCTCAAGCACTGGATGGGTCAGCAGGCAGCTGTTGTGTGGTGGAAGTCTTGGAATTGTGAGCCTCTGAGTTTGTCTTTGTCAGGCTTCACACCAAAGTGCAGCAATCAATCACTGATTTCCAGACACTTAGCTCTTAGTTCAACTTCTTGGCTTGATTTGACAAAAGACACACAAACATGATTTGACTGGAATAGAATCTTTACTGCAGACAAGAATAAAACCTCACACATAGCAGTTGACTGTTTGCTGCCATGCAAAGATGTCAGCCATTTAATCAAAGGTTTAAATTCTAGGCATCTTCCTTCCACCCTTCTCAATTAAAGAATGCTTGGTAGGTCATTTTGTGACCTTGAGTAATTATGATCACTTTATTCAATGGCCATTGCTAGCGTGGCAACTGCTTATCCCTGCCTTCCCAGCTTCAGGTCTTATATCACCAGTTGCTAAGTGTTTTGGTAAGTTCCATAGCTGGAGGAGGACACCAAACAGATGGTAACCACAGAGGGATTGGTACCAAGGAAGCCTTTATTGGCAAGACTGCAGACTTTGGTATCAAGAGAAAGTGGTTAATGGGCAAAACAGAGTCAATGAGTCAAACAATTGACTAATTATGCTATGGTTGATGCAGCCTCCCACCTTTGCTGTTGTAGTATGAAGGAGATAAAAACTTATAAGGCAAAGCTGCTATATGAACAATTCCAGCTCATAATGCCAGGAAGGGCAGAGATGAGATGGGCAGTGACCAAAATCCAGGTTCTCATAAACCAAAGGATATATTCTGGCTCCAAGAGGGGAAGAGATAGTAATCTGTGGTATGGTAGTGGTAATTTCAAGACAAGAATGACTATCACTAAAATCAGGAATCCAGGGTACCTCTAAACGTCCAGTAGGAAAAGGAGAGGAATATGCTATGCTTCAGTCCAAAAGAGCTTTAGAGTGAAAACCCCATCACTTATAGGAGGGATGAGATTAAGTATCTATGATCCTGTAAATTAGAGGGGGTGCCTTCCTAATTTCCCCTTTGGATATAGGTGGAACATTGCTATCACTCTTAACATATTTACAAAATGTAATTCTAGAGGTCACAGGTCCAAAAATCAAGCAGAATGGGTATCACTTGCATCGCTTTTGATGATTTGGACCAATCATCCAAAATGTCATGGAGAATGGTATGGAGTAATTTTGTGTAGGTTAAAGCTACTGAATCTAATAACAGAAAAAAATGTCTCAAAAAAGATGGAGAATATTCCTAATGCTGCTGGTAATTATGCAGGTAAAACAAAACTAAGAAAGAATACAGGTATAAGGGAAGAAGCTGCTGAGGCCAGAAAGCAAAGAGCTTGAAACCAGACCAAAGTGTTATTAAAACACAATGGAGGTCTCCTCCACATCCTAGACCACGAAAAAAACAGCAATAAATCCATTACTACATGAGGACAGGAGAAAGACACATAAGATTTAAACCCTTGAACTATTATACAGTAGAAAGTTTAATTTATTCTGTAGCAGCTGAGCTTCAATATAAAGGCTTCTTTTTCCTTCAGTAAAACAACTTATCTATTGGAACTTTGTTCTTGATTCTCTTCTGCTAGCTTCTGAGAGCAGGTTTTATTTTCTAGAGGGAGATTTATTGCCAAACTCTCAATGAAGCTCTGACAACAGGAACCTCATTGCACATCTGCCTTACTGAGTGGTTCCCATAAAAATCCTCATCTGTAGAAGGTTCTTCAAATCAGATCTAAACATGATATAATTCATACATAGGATGCATAGAGTTCACAAAGAATTATGCATCTACTGAGATCATGTACCCATCCACCACAGATCCAGAGCAGGCCACAGGTTTCTTGGTTCTGTCACAACAAGATGTAGTGAAAGATCATAAAGAAAATCTTCCTTTCAAAATCATTTTGATTTTGTGAGATAAATATATTCTAAAGATGACCTTTAAGTAAACATTAATGAATGCTTGGCAAAAGTATCTTCACTGTTATTTTTAGGTGATAAATTGTTCGGATTAAGCTAGACCTCTTTTCATGTATAGTTATATGAGCCATATTCTTTGAATTTCCTCCAAACTTTACTTGGAAATAAAATTCTCATCTCCTTATTTTCCTTCATCTAATTTGTGAACTTTTATTTAACGCTCAACATTTAGTTTTTTTTGTGTGATGAATGATTTAAAAGAAAAAGAGAGAGAGAAGATTCCTGAGAGAGAGAGAGAGAGAGAGAGAGAGAGAGAGAGAGAGAAAATTTGCAATTTTGGTAGCAGATAGACTCTGCTACAGAAATTGCAAATTAAAATTAATGCATGCACTAGAGTTTAACTACACATTTAACTAAGTTTAAACGATACATTTAAAAATTCCCAGAACAAAAACTATAATAAATACAGTAGCCTTTGTAATAGTATCTGCAAGTATTAAAATATGGAGATTACAATTCACAAAGCATCTTGTGATTAAAAAAAATGTAAGATTTTAAAAATATAAAGTGCTGACATACCTCTGGAGCCAAGTATTCTGGAGTACCACAGAACGTTTTCATAGTAGCTGCATCTGTGATTCCTTCTTTGCAAAGTCCAAAATCTGTAATTTTTATGTGTCCATCTTTATCCAGCATTAGATTTTCTAACTGTATTTTACAAAGACACAAAAAACCCACTGACTTAAAGAGAAAAAAAAAACCTGCTATGTAATAATTCCATTATTGCAATTTTGTATAATTAAAAGTAATGGGTAATGACGTATCTGATCTTTTAATGTTGCAGTGTTTTCTTTAAAAGTACCTTAAAGGTCCCTTGAACTGATTGAAGTTATAGCTTTATTTACAAAACTTCATTCCTTTAACTCACTGAGCTATGTTTCCATTTAATATGTTCCCTCATTTGCTATTTCTGAAGAACCAATAATAGCTTCTAAAATAATATTATTCTAAGAAAAACAAAATATCAGTAGATCTGATCATTAAGTTTCTTCTTGAGTAGTTTGGTATTTACCAACCTAAGTTGGTTGGTTGGTTGGTTGATTGATTGTGTTTATATAGCCACCCATCTCACGCCAAGTGACTCTGGGCGGCATACAACAATCAAAAAGAATAAATACATAAAAACAACTACAAATAAAAAACTATAATAGCACACAAAACAGGAGGGGATAAAATTAAGGGAGCCATTGCAAAATCTCCCCAGCCCCCTGGGACCCCAGGTCTGATCACATAGCCAGGTCTTGAGGGACTTGCGGAATGTTAAGAGGGATGGAGCTAATCTTACTTCTAGGGGGAGAAGATTCCACAAGGCAGTTGCCACGGCAGAGAAGGCCCACCTCCTGGGACCCGCCAAATGGAATTCTCTGGCAGACGGGACCTGCAGCATGCCTTCTCTGCCAGACCTGCTAGGACGGGCAGATGTAATTGGGGAGAGGAGGTCCCTCAGGCAACCAGGCCCCATGCCATGAAGGGCTTTAAAGATCAAAATCAGCACCTTGAATTGGACCCAGAAGCAAACTGGCAATCAATGCAGCTCGCAGAGCAGAGGTGTAACTTGTACTGCCCTAGGGGCACACATAATTGCCTGCGCCACTGCATTTTGCACCAGGTACTCTTCCAGATACTCTTCAAGGGCACCATGTAGAGTGCATTACAGAAATCCAAACAGGAGGTGACTAGGGCATGAGTGACAGTGAGTAAGTCCCTCTGATCTAATAATAGGTGCAACTGGTACACAACACGAAGCTGTGCAAAGGCCCTCCTAGCCACAACTGCCACCTGCTCTTTGAGCAAGAGTTATAGGTCCAGGAGGATCCCCAGACTGCGCACAGAGTCTGTCTGGGGCAGTGCAACCCCACTCAGTACCAAAGATGGCATAGCCCTAGCACCAGAAGGCCCCAAAACCCAAAGCCACTCAGTCTTGCAAGGGTTCAGTTGAAGCCTGTTTCTCCCCATCCAGACCCTCACAGCCTCCAGGCACCCAGATAAGACATGCAAACATTACATAATTGCTATTTATATTTTTACAGTATGATTACCAGGGCTGTGCAAATCCTACACAAGAGGTGTTTCTGAACGTGTGGGTGCACACCCAATCACTAAAAAAGTAGTTCATGGTATTGCTGCATGAATGTGCATACACCTTGTTTTACTGGTAAAAATACAGCCATTTCACTTCAGAGGGAACTGAAGAACTATGTCATTTTGCTGGAGAAAAATAAAGTGATTGTGCATGCACACACATTCAGGAAGAGGCATAAATGGAGGAGAAGGGACTACTCTAAGTAGTAATGTACTAGCTTCTTAAACATGCAAGGGTGAACACCAGGATTATGTAAACCAGTTCATACACTGTAGAGAAAAAGCGAAATGACTGTGATTGTCAGTTTCTTGTTTTAATGAGCCAAATTCTATGCTGTGGGCAACTGGAATTCTAACGCTGCCAGTGAAAGAGAACTCAGTTTAATTTATTTACATACCGTACTCAAAGTTCATTATTCTGTAATTATGTGGAAACTAAACATGTTCGCAGCAAGTCATGAAGACAGAAAAATTACATCGCATGCATGGTGACATCGAGATGTAAACACCATTATATATTTCTGTATTTATATACTGATTTCTGATACAATGACATAAACAATGAGGTTTGAATCAGGATGTCATAACTTATATTTTAGCAATTGCCCCCTTTGCTAAATCAATCAATTAAAGTTTCTTCATCTCCTCAGTATGGCGGTAATCCTAACTGCTTGAAGAACACTATATACATCCTGATTCAAACCTCATTGTTTATGTCATTGTATCAGAAATCAGTATATAAATACAGAAATATATAATGGTGTTTACATCTCGATGTCACCATGCATGCGATGTAATTTTTCTGTCTTCATGACTTGCTGCGAACATGTTTAGTTTCCACATAATTACAGAATATAATCCATTGTGGTGGTGTACAGATCCAAAGATGTTAGAATTGTGCCGATGTCCCAATATTTCTGGACCTGACTGTATATGAAGAATATGATATACAGTCACTTTTTGTGAGATGGACAGTATCTAAATTTGAAATATAATTATATAAATAAATAAATACTACACTGATTAATAAAGTACTGATATCAGAAGCATTGTTATTTGTCATTTAAATACACGTATAATAGTCAAGTATTTAAAGTATTAAATAATTTTTTCTTCCTTTTTTCCCCTTTTTATTGCATTGAATCTCAATACATTGTACTATTTCAATACAGTGTTTATATAATTAAACATTATTGACATTCTATTATTTAGATAGCTTAGAGGATTTAAAACAGCCCTTATTAAATGACGCAGAAGAAACTAATCCTGTTCTTTACTGTTAGCAACAGGATTTCCTACTGCAAAACATGAAAACCAAATTACATTTTTTGTAGGATTAGTGATACTTAAAATGAGTGGGAAATTTTCTTAGTAGAAAAACTAACACAACAAAGATCTTAGGAAAAATTTACAATGAAGGACAAATGTAGTAAAATTAGGCCACAATTTAGTAACAATACTTTTTTCCTAATAGAATACTTTTGTACAAATATCATATCCTCAGAAATATTGAGGATATTTAAAACATTTTTCTTCCCAAGCTTCTCCACTCTGTGTGTGTGTGTGTGTGTGAGCCCTGTACAAATATTTTGAATTTCAACCATTCTGAATTTGAATTGCTCCATTTTGAGATCAAAGCTGCTGTTCCACATTTGAGATAAGCTATTTAGATAATCTTTGAATACATTCTGAACTTGAAACATCTGCTTCTAGATTAAAACACTTTCAAATTGATCAGGCAGATTTTTTTAAATGCAAAAAAGCTGTTTGAGTAAAAACAGAATGTTCCCTTTCTAAATGACTTGAATTCAAAATGTTTTGCACATCATTTATGTATGCTTCCAATTAATTTTTTTTAAAGGATTATTGGTTGATTTTCTTTTTGCTTTTGTAGTATTATTGATATTTAATTCTATTTTTTTTCTTGGGATTCTTTTTACAAGACTGCTTGTATGCCATTTTTGTTCTATTAGAGTATTTTATATAGATCTATATAAACCAAATAAAGGGCAATACAGGACAAGTAAATATAAGGAACAGGTAAAGTTTTTCAGAGAGTAGCTCTCTTTTTCATAACTGTAGAAAACATAAAGCACTCAATTTGTGCCAAAACTGTAGTAAGTCTGAAACTGTAGTAAGCCTACAACTAGCCAAAAGGGCAAATGAGCAATTTTAGCCACAAAGCAAGCCATGGTAAGCTTCTGAAGATTCTGAAATAATTCCCTGCAGACTTAGATAAAACAAACACCAAATCACTCAATAATTCTGTGCAACTTACAGAGCAGCAACAAAAACAGCCATTCCAAATGTTCCTTTTCTTTATTGTGACATAATTCAAGATAATCTCTTTTTCAAAGGAGGCAGAAAATCCATAAGAAGGAACAGTTCATAAAATATTATGATTGATTCTTTAAGGGTAATTCCTTATAAGTGAAACTGTCTTCTTTCATGTTGGTGTAGAATACAGCTACTTGTGTCTTGGTGGGGGCAAAGCAGTTAGGAAATGTGACCTCTATACTGTACCATCAGTAACTTTCCAACTCCAATTCAAGATGCTGGTTCTCTCCTGCATTAACTGTCCTTCAAATAAGATCAAGAATGGAGGTCTTTCTGATTTATTTTTCTTTGAGAACTGTTATGTTTGTCAAAACTAGAAAAAGGATCTTCATGAAGTATCTTTCCACCTAGGCTTCATCATCACCTGCTTTTAAGAAGGACCTGTAGACCCAATCAATCCCTTCATCGCATGTGCCATTGTCCTGCCAAAGGATCTAGCCAGAACTGAGATTATATTATTAAAGATGCTTAATGTCATCACTTTAATTTTTGTAATTCATTGGTTTTATTTATTAGTTGGTCTTATATGCTGCTTCAGTCCAAAGAGTATAAATGCCTCAAAGCAGTAAATAAAAAGTATAAGAGCAAAACCAAATACAATAACTCCACAATCATCTTTGTGCTCTCTAACCATACTTTGGGATCAGTTTTATTAATTTCTGTCACTCCATTCCCAAAGGCCCTATAAAAACGCCATTTCTTGATTGCTTTCTCAAATACCAATAGCATCAAGGCCGTTCTTGTATTTAGGATAAGCTATTCCAGAGAAAGATAGCCATAACAGAAAAAGGATATTTCCAGGTCCCGTCTCATCAAAACTCCCAATGGGGAAGCACCCATAACATGTACTCTCTATTTACTCTTACTGCCTGGTAAGTGGGTGGCTATACAAATTGAATGATTGAATAAATTAAGGAATGAATGAACAAATTAATGAGTAGGCAGATTCCACTCAAAGCAGGCAGTCTTGTAGATAACCAGGTCTCAAGCCATGAAGAGGCTTTATAGGTAACAACTAACACTTTGAATTGCAGAAACCAACTGGTAATCAATACATCTTCACAGTATTTGTGTTACACAGTTAAAGCATGCTTGACCTGTTATCATGTGGGCCTTTTGAACCAGCTGTAGCTTCCAAGGGCAATTCCACCTACATCAAATCACAGTATAGGTAGACATCACTTATGCAGCAACCATTTGAAGTTATGATGGTGCTGAAAAAAATAACT